AAGCTGCAAAACATTCAGAGAAATGTCTTCTCTTACATTGACCAGGGAATTGTATACACGAAGAAAAAATATAAAAATTACGATTTTTTTTTATTAATCAAGTGGAACGACCACGAAACTTTAAGTTGATAGTGTTCCGCCGTGAAAAACAGAATAAACAAAAAAAGACATCTTCTTTTTTTTCTTCTGATTGCTCAAAAGTAAACAGATAAACTTTTGTTGTTTGTTGAAAGTTAGTTTGTATCTGAGTGTTCAAAAACACAATCGGAGAAAAAAAAACGAAAATTTATATTGAGAAGTTGATCAAAAATTAGACTCTTGTTTCATTTTTCTCATCTAATTTCAGATGTGAAACTACTTCCGGGTTCTCTTGTTTTCTGAAAAACTGACTCTATAACTCAATTTTTTTCAATGTCGATGCGTGAACTTTTGATGCTCATTAGTTAGATTGTCAATTTCAGACACTATGCAATTGACAGACTGCTCCGGCTATCTTATTTCAGTTCATCTTTGGGGAACACACAAAGCACCCATTATAATCTAGTGGAACCGCTTAGAATTCAATAAAGCTCATTATCCGTGTTTCAGTTTGTTAAAAATCTCAGAAATATCCAAGAATAGCATTACAAATTTTCGTAGTTTGTGCTTCAGGGATTGCGCTGAAAAAAAATTTCAGAGTTAAAAACCGGAAGTTGCGTTCACTGAAACGGATATGAGTTCAAGAAACTTCGATGCGACCTGGAATATAATTGATATTCTTGAAAAAGCACTTTCACCATCAGCGCGTACAAACACAATGTTCGAATAAGAGTCGCTCACCCCTTATTTTCAAGATAATTAGGATCACATCATCTACTAAAACAGTTCTTCAAGGATCTTCACACCCCCATCTATAATTCCGAACGAAACTGTCAAACATTCCTTCCAGATTGCTCCCATTCGCAAAAACACACAGATTAACCATGATGTTCTTCACATCTAATCCGGCACTTATTCTAATTGATAACAAAATATAAAAGCTGAAAAACATGTTTTTGTTCAAACGAATCCCTGTTCTTAATCCGAATCCTTCTTTCCATGGTTTTTTTTCGTAAGATTATAACAGGAACATTAAAGTTTCCGCATTAGCCATATGAATATAATCGGTATTAGATATACTGGTATTAGATAACCTTATCAGTTGGATTGAAGAGCTTCTATTCTATTCTTTGTTCTTCATAATCATAATGTTTGTCACGAGTATTCTGGAAAACAGTAGTACGTCATGAGTTGAAACAGCTTTGGAGAGGCATCACAGTTGCTTACTGTACTGTGTACTGGTTTCACTGATAAGGTTTTGACATCTAAACAAGGATAATGAAAGTTGAACAACGATACACGTTTTCCGTAATAAGAATCACACGATCGACTGAATACAAACCTACTGAACACCAGTTCAATGACTACAAACCTACTAAATACAAGCCTACTAAATACAAAGGTTCAACCATTGGCAACGAATTCTTTAGAAAAAAAAGTCAAATCACTAAAACATAACCAAACACTTCATGAGATAAACTTTGGTAAAAATAAATGTCCATCGTGTTTCCTAAGGTCCTAAAAATGCCCGCTGGTCAAAATGAAGACCTTTGGCTTCAAAAAATCTACAGAGTGTTGAAAAAACCTTTGAATGATACAAAGGTACAATGATGTCGAAAAAGAGCAGGAATTTTGAACTTGGCGTCATTACTTTTACAGCTCATTCGAAAGAAAACATGGTAGTTTAGTCTGAACTTATAATTTTGATTTTCAAAAATTATTTTCCGAAAAATTCAATGAAGCTCTTGTGTTTTCTGATATGACCATCTTATCCCCCAGAGAAACTGTTTCAGTGAAAATACCTTTCTATTTTTTTCCAAGTAACCTTTTTATTTTTAAAAGTCTTTTCCTTTGAAGAAGATACATAGTTTTTTCCCCTGCATGCTCTATCTCTCAAAGTGTCAGTTTCCGTACTTGAAATGCACACATTCTATTTTTGAAGCCTTCTCGGTGACAAGAAGTGCCAGGCGATGTCCCCAATCGGATTAGCCGCGGAACTTTCGTTCTCCATAAAACACACAATCTCTTATAAACTCTTCTGATCCTTTTTAGTGTGGGCGCCCTCTAGAGTGGGCGCCAATGAAGGAATTTGAAGTTCATCGGACACTCTCTTTGATGTTCAGGGCCAATTTGAGAGCATAAATATTGGATAATTTCTGAAGTCAAAAATTTTTCCCTGAAGTTCCCTTTTCCAACTTTTCATGGCAATGGCTTTTGGCTTTAACGGCGCCCAAACTTTTAATTAAATTTAACACCTGCATGTGAAACATTTCTCAAAATAGAAAATCTCAGGGCGTAGCGCCACAACTTTCAAGTCATGCTTGGGAGTTAATGAGATTTTTTCCATGGCAATTTTAGTAAACAACGAATGAGCTTTGACTTTGATACGCAGAGTGGCCGAATTTAAATTAAGAAAGAGGGCAAATGAAAAATTGCGGATACTGTAGTCGCTACATTTGCACATCATAGGCTTGATATTGTGTCCAAAAATGATGTTCATTCTAAAATCGGGTAATATTACTTCCTGGTTGCGAATCTTTTGCCTTCTGAATAAAATTATATGAGAGTGTATCAGGTGTCTTGATAATCAGATTTTTGCTGAAATCTTTGACCGAAATAGATTATCAGATTAGATGATGTACGAGCAATCGAGAGGATAACTTTTGGTGCCCAAATATCAGTTTTATCTCCAGTTATCCGAAGCACTACATCACTCAAATGTTCTTTGGAGCAAAAAAAAAAAGTTCGGAAAAGTAATGAGCCCTCAAAAGTGCTTTACTGGAACCAATTATCATGAGAGCAAGAAGAAAAAAGTGATCATTCATAATAAAAAGAAGAAAAGAGGCCTCAAAAATGATGATGATCCTTCATTACAGTTCATTCGTTCCCAATTTTTTATAATTTCTCTAGTTGTGAATGCCCAATTCCAAAACATTCCCATTTTCTTTGGACTCCAAAAATTCTGTTGGTGCCAAAAAAATTGTTTAGGAATCTCGGAACCCAGCGCGTCCAAGCGGAACAACTTTCTTGGAATGTAAACTTTTCCAGATTGTTTCAAAAGTTTTTTTAGAACTTTGTCATTCATGCTTCAATAAACATTCACTGGGTGGTTTGTTAATCCAGTCGAGTAAGAAACAATCCGTGGAACAATCCCAAACATTCCCTTTTGCTGTGGGCGCCAATATTTCTGTGGGCGCCAGGAAAAATGTTTAGGAATCTCGGACCCCAGCGCGTCCAAGCGGAACAATTTTTTTAGAATGTAAACTTTTTCAGCACGTTTCAAAAGTTTATTTAGAACTCTGTCATCCATGCTTCACTGAACATTTACTGGGTGGTTTGTTAATCCAGTCGACTAAGGAACAATCCGTGGGAGTTCCGGTGCAAAAAACTGGGAAAATGGAATTTCTTTAAGACTTGTTCCCCTTCTCAGGTGATTCGCGAACAATCCGTTACGGACGCTCCGCGTTCGCGCGCGGTTGAAATAGGAACCGCATACGGACCGTACGCGAACCGTTTTTAGTAAATAGCAGTACGTTATTCGGAATGATCCGTATCCTGTCCGTTCGCGAGCTCCGTATCCGATCCGATTGCGAATCATGACCAAACGGATCCGTG